GGACAGAGACCAGAAGAGCTTATGCGATAGTAATGCGTGGGTGAAGTCGTCCGTCCGTCTGTAAACAATTTTTCAAAATGCTACTCCTCCTACAGTTTTGGTCTGATTTCAATATAACTTGGCACACAAGTAGACTACACTAAGATACACAATTCCGTGTATCGGTTTTTGATTTCAATGAACGGTGTTGCCGTTGTTACTAAAAATAGAAATTTCTGTGAAATTCTTTCAAAATGCTACTCCTCCTACAATTTAAGTCTGATTTTAATATAACTTAGCACACAAGTAGACTACACTAACATACATAATTCTGTGTATCGGTTTTTGATTTCAGTGAACGGTGTTGCCGTTGTTACTAAAAATAGAAATTTCTGTGAAATTCTTTCAAAATGCTACTCCTCCTACAGTTTTGGTCTGATTTCAATATAACTTGGCACACAAGTAGACTACACTAAGATACATAATTCTGTGTATCGGTTTTTGATTTCAATGAACGGTGTTGCCGTTGTTACTAAAAATAGAAATTTCTGTAAAATTCTTTCAAAATGCTACTCCTCCTACAGTTTTGGTCTGATTTCAATATAACTTGGCACACAAGTAGACTACACTAAGATACATAATTCTGTGTATCGGTTTTTGATTTCAATGAACGGTGTTGCCGTGGTTACTAAAAATAGAATTTTCTGTGAAATTCTTTCAAAATGCTACTCCTCCTACAGTTTTGGTCTGATTTCAATATAACTTGGCACACAAGTAGACTACACTAAGATACATAATTCTGTGTATCGGTTTTTGATTTCAATGAACGGTGTTGCCGTTGTTACTAAAAATAGAAATTTCTGTAAAATTCTTTCAAAATGCTACTCCTCCTACAGATTTGGTCTGATTTCAATATAACTTGGCACACAAGTAGACTACACTAAGATACATAATTCTGTGTATCGGTTTTTGATTTCAATGAACGGTGTTGCCGCGGTTACTAAAAATAGAATTTTCTGTGAATTCTTTCAAAATGCTACTCCTCCTACTGTTTTGGTCTGATTTCAATATAACTTGGCACACAAGTAGACTACACTAAGATACATAATTCTGTGTATCGGTTTTTGATTTCAATGAACGGTGTTGCCGTTGTTACTAAAAATAGAAATTCCTGTGAAATTCTTTCAAAATGCTATTCCTCCTACAGTTTTGGTCTGATTTCAATATAACTTGGCACACAAGTAGACTACACTAAGATACATAATTCTGTGTATTGGTTTTTGATTTCAATGAACGGTGTTGCCGTTGTTACTAAAAATAGAAATTTCTGTAAAATTCTTTCAAAATGCGACTCCTCCTACAGTTTTGGTCTGATTTCAATATAACTTGGCACACAAGTAGACTACACTAAGATACATAATTCTGTGTATTGGTTTTTGATTTCAATGAACGGTGTTGCCATGGTTATTAAAAATAGAAATTTCTGTGAAATTCTTTCAAAATGCTACTCCTCCTACAGATTTGGTCTGATTTCAATATAACTTGGCACACAAGTAGACTACACTAAGATACATAATTCTATATATCAGTTTTTGATTTCAATGAACAGTGTTGCCGTTGTTACTAAAAATAGAAATTTCTGTGAAATTCTTTCAAAATGCTACTCCTCCTACAGTTTTGGTCTCATTTCAATATAACTTGGCATACAAGTAGACTACACTAAGATACATAATTCTGTGTATCAGTTTTTGATTTCGATGAACGGTGTTGCCGTGGTTACTAAAAATAGAAATTTCTGTTAAAAACTCTCAAAATGCTACTTCAAGTACAGTTTAAGTCTGATTATAATATAATGTGGCATGCAAGTAGACTACACTAAGAACATAAAGAGACTTAATCAAAGCTCATTATTCTTTTTATTGCTGTTGTAAAGTTTCAATTCCCAACTGCTTAAGAACTTTTCTTTTCCTTTGCTATAAGAACAAACCAGTAGAGCTTCAGTCTCGACAGAGACTTCTGGTTTTTTCAGTGACCTTGAACTTAACTGATCTTGGGTGAAGGTCATAAGGTGATAATCCATCTTTGTTGAAGTAGTAGATTCAAGTTTTTCCACAATAAAGATATGTACCAAACATGAATTATAAAAATGTTCTTTTAGTGACCTTGAACTTGCACAGATGACGTTCGGTCAAGGTCATGACACACCCTTAAGTCATGAGGAATCTTTGTGTGAAATATGAGAATACCAAAGTTATCCATAAGAAAGATATGGATCGGACACGAATTCTAAAATCTATCTTCCAGTGACGTTCACCGGTCACGGTAGCCTAGTGGTAGAGCGTTCGCTTCGTGAACGGGAGGCCCGGGTTCGATTCTCGTTCGCGGCGCCGCGTCATATCTAAGACGTAAACAAAGGTAGTGACTGTTCCTTCGCCAAACGCTCGGCGCTAGAAGTGAAAGTCACGGGTCTTTCGGATATGACCTGAAAAACGTAGGTCCCGTGTCACGGTAGGCGCTGGCACGATAAAGAACCCTCAATGCTCAATGGCCCTGAGTGCCGAGTATAGGTCTTAGTTTGAAGCCCTTCACCGGCATACGGTGACGTATCCGTATGAGTGAAAAATTCTCGAGAGGGACGTTAAACAACATACAATCAATCAATCAATCCAGTGACGTTGAACTTCCACAAATGACCTTGGGTTAAGGTCATGACACACTCTTAGGTCATGAGCAATCTTTGTGTGAAATGGTAACTTACCAAGTTTATCCATAAGAAAGATATGGACCGGACACAAATTGTGATATTTTTCTTCCAGTGACCTTGAACTTCCCCAAATGACCTTGGGTCAAGGTCATGACACACCTTTAGGTCATGAGCAATCTTTGTGTGAAGTAGTAGAATCTAATGTTCCTCCACAAGAAAGAAATGGACCGGACACGTTTGCACAGACAGAGGGACAAACTAATTCCTATATACCCCCCAAACTTCGTTTGCAGGGGGTATAATGAAGGAATCTGGGAATGTTGCCCTACAATATGGCAGCTAAGGGGAATAATTAATAACTCCTAGACAAAATATATCAAAGGAAAAGTGTCTATTGTTAGTCCGAAATATATTAAGTTTTTCAAGCTTTATTTTATTTTTACAATTTTGATAAAGACCAGAAGAGCTAATGCTATAGTAATGCGTCCGTCCGTCTGTCTGTCTGTAAACAATTCTTCAAAATGCTACTCCTCCTAAAGTTTTGGTCTGATTTCAGTATAACTTGGCACACATGTTAGAAGTAAACTACACTAAAATACATAATTCTGTGTAATTCGGAATTTGATTTCGATAAACGGTGTTACCATGGTTACTAAAAATAGAAAATTCTGTGAAATACTTTCAAAATGCTACTCCTCCTACAGTTTGGGTTTGATTTCAATATAACTTGCACACAAGTAAACTACACGAAGAAACATAATTCTTTTACTCGATTTCTGGTTTTGATGAACTGTGTTGCCGTGGTTACTAAAAATAGAAATTCCTGTGAAATACTTGCAAAATGCTACTCCTTCGGTTTTAGTCTGATTTTGATATGGTGTGACATGCAAGAAGACTAAAATGAGATACATACTTTTTTGGTTTTTTTTAAATTTTGATGAATGATATAAAATGGTGACTTAAATTGAAAATTCTGTAATATTTATTAAAAGCTACCCCCACAGTTGTAGTCTTAATGCAAACTTGGCACAAAAAGAGACTTAATCAAGGATCATTATTCTATTTATTGCTGTTGTACAGTTTCAAGTTCCAACTGCTACTTCTCTCTTCCTTTGGTTTAAGTACAAACCAGTAGAACCACAGATTCGACAGAGACTTCTGGTTAATACTTACGAACCGAATTGAATGCTGAATTTGCAACTTACCAATAGTACAATACTTCTGCCTCGCCAACATCATTTTTATGGTTTATTTTGTAAATTATACAGTCTGATGAAAACATTTTATCAGACCGTCTCTGATTTCATTTCTTGGATTGTAAAATATTGAAAAACCTGTATCGAAATATGGATTGAAATATTCTTTTCATTGATATTTATAAGCATCATAAGGACTATGTTATTGATAAATTGTTATTTCGGCATTTGATTCAGATCGCAACTATCGAAAATCAGCTCCAGTTGGAAACAATGAAATTTCCAGTTTTCGGTAAGATATTCCGGACTGATCATGAGTTATTGCGAGATATCGGAAAAGCAATTGAGTAATAATTAAATTGGTAATAATTCAATGGCGGATCCAGAAGTTTTGAAAAAGGGGGGCGGACCAGTTTGAGGTCAGGGAAGGGGCCCACAACCACACAAAAAACAGTCATTTACCTAATATTGTGTATTTTTTGGACTCAAAAGGGGGGAGGGGGCTGGCCCCTTTCTAAATCCGTAATTGAATACCGTCTTAATTAAACCTAAAATCCTGCTTCCAACTCTGCCGCGGACAGTGTCTGCATCGGATCTACACTGTAGATGTATGTTTTCCCCTTTCTTGCAATTTGTGAGTTGCCATCTCGCCTATGTACCCTGAATAATACATGTATGCTCAAACAGACCCATGCTTAAATTTAAGCATATTCTAATCACAATACATGTAAATAGTTGTAAAGTTTTATGTAGCACATTGCGTAATATGCTTAGTAAAATTCCTACCTGTTCAGCATAATATCGGGGCAAATGAAGTATATCCTTCATTACTTGAGAATTTTCATGCATGCAAGCCTAGTATCATTCAAATAAAGATCCGTCACAAAGCTAAAAAAATAGCATTGAATATGTGTGCTTCTTTTAATTTTTAAGTTTACCTTGTATTTATATGAAAAATTATTTTCCAATACGTATTATAAGAGTCTGTTACGAATAGATATTTAAGCAAGCATTATGAGGACGGTCTACTCTAGCAAGATTTTTTTCTTTCTCCGTTTACCCATATTCCCTCTTCTGATTAGTTGATTTTATTTACTTCCTTCATGTTTCTGTGATAAAATACAACGCCCAGTATTTGAAATTTCCGTAAGCTTTGGATCATGCCAGTGAAAATGAGTTCAAGACTTGTAATTTGTATTCCCAGTCTTTTTTTGCTGTTCAATTCATTTTCAACCGTACAGTAAGTATATAGTTTACTGTCTTTTTAAAAAGAAATTGAACTTTAACTAAAATATTTCTGTTAATTTTAATATATTTTCTCCTACAAATTTGCAAAAAGTAAAAAAAAAAAAAAAAAAAAAAACATTAACATTTCTTTCAATTCCACAAATAGACAAATCTAAATTAAAGATTTTCACCTAAATGCTTCAGTTGATTACAAGAAAATTAGAGCTCTCGGTATTGACATTTAAGAGGTTATTAGTTTTCTAAAAGGTATTGTATTTTTGTAAGTTGCGAATTCGGCATTTTATACTGTGGTTCTACTGGTTTTTACTTGCACCAAAGGAAGAGAAAAGTAGCAGTTGGGACTTGAAACTTTACAACAGCATTAAATAGAATAATTTCTAACCCTCCCGCCTCCCACTTTTGTCCAGACAAGATTTTTCTATAGGAAATATTCATTGTAGGTCCGGTTGCCCCCCACCATTTGTTATAGTATTAGAAATAGGGGTTACATGTATATAAGGGTAACAGAAAACGATCTACGTCACTGGAATATAATGTGACCTTACCTCTTTCATTTTTTTCAGTTACCTGTCAAATTACATAATAACACAAGCATTTTAATATATGCGATGGTTTAGAGTATTGTGACAAAGTAGAATATCCTTGCTTGACACTCTTCTGATTTTTTAAATGTATCTGACACTTCAGATATATTTTATGAGGTTATAAACTTTTCCCTGTGTAAACTAGGGCTCTACAGTAATTTCACATTTTTCAAATTCAGATATATGACTGTAAACATTTTGCAAACTACCTAACTTAGAGTTCGGTAACTAATGACTGAGCGTTACATTAACCGAGCAAGATGTATACCAATGAAATATTTCCGGTTTTAATGAATTGTCAAAATATTAACAAAAATCTATAAGAAGAATATATTTGATATAGTTTCATTCTAGGTTCTATGCAATGTTTTTTCCTTCTTAAAAGAGGTCAATTTGTTTTTCTTGCAAAATTAAATGTATGTATTATTCTCTGCCATTGTATATAAAATACCAGTTCTTATAATTACTTTCAAATTTTAAAAATATTGTTTCACGGTGTTTTAGAGACCATACAGCTTTTTAGAATGCTTAAAATCAGAAAGCTAGTATCAAATTATGTTTAAAAGACATTGATGGGTAAAATGCGTTAAATGTTTTCAGAAAATGATACTGGCAATATAAGCATTTCTAGTATATATTATACTCTGAAATATGATATATGAATGAATTGAATATATTAGGGTACAAATTTTCTACAAGAATGCATACCCCAAGGACAGAGTTTGACCTCTGGGTTCACTATTATTTATCTTTAGGCCTTTTTCTGTGGGGACTTCCTACGGAGCAGGGTCTACATTCCTAGACCACAGATATAAATTGAGTCAAAAAGATTATAAGCCTTTAAATAAGTGAAGAGTTTCTAGGAAAATTGGGTGACAAGGACTCTTACAGAAATTCCCCAAACTCTCCCTATCTCAAACGACCACCATATAAGGGGTTTCATAATATTTTTATCCTACCTCTGATTTTTGGAGGTCCATGTTTGCTCTGCTCCCAATTTTGTATTTATTGGACTTTTGATCCTGAATGCTCTTCCATATATTTCATTCATTATCATATCTTGTCATATATCTACTTGGAACAAGAAGTGTTTAGTTTTCTAATTCAGTATTCCTCTCGCCGCGCACGAAAAGGTGTTCTTAAAGACAGAAGTGTCTTTGATATATCCAAATTATTTTTATATTACTTGGTGGAATTTCTTAGCAGTATCCCAGGGTCTCATGTTGAATTCACAAACATATCTTCTTCTACGGATATGCAGTTCTACACTTAAGGAGCCCACTGGAGAATGGTAAGAATTCCATTCCCACCAACTATCCCACCATTCTCCCATGAAAGAATGTCCGATGGTATATCTTTTCCCTTTGGGATTTTTTTCTCCCATGAATTTAAATTGTTCACATGGGATAAATCCCACAGATATAGAAAATCAGACATTTTATCCTAATGTTATACGTAGTTAAAAGAGGAATATCTATAAAAATAATTGCAAACACACGCCGAAACAGGTGCACCTAGGTTCTTACTTACTCCTTTAACAATTCACTATATACAAGATGATGTCCGTAATTTACTGTATATTTGGTCTTCACTTGCATAATGCATAGTAAGTATATTATATTAAATTAAAAGTTCATTTTAACTTTCTACAAACAGCCATGAAATAGCAAAAGCGTGAGTAAGGTGCCGTTCCGGTTCGTGGATTGAAATGAAACTGGGAACAAGAAATTGTTTATCATTTCATAAAACGTCATCACTCATTTATTCAATCAAAACGTAATCAAAATGATGATAAAAGAAATTAGTTGTGCAAACTGTTTAAAAATTATTTTTGTCATTCACCAGTCTTAATATTGACGAAAGCTTCCAAAACATCATATAGCATCGACTGTCATCGAGCCCCGATTTTAAAATAGCCGTCACAAACATAAAAAACAAGATGTGTTTGTGAAACACTATGCGCCCAGCGGCAACAAAGTTAAACAAGCTAATTCAGAGAATCTGAAAAAAGTAAAACATGCGCAATTCGGGGGGAGGGTCGGATCACCCTCACTGAATTTGTAGAATTATACAAATACATGTATACTGAAGCAAATAAAATATACCATTATGGATATAAAGATTTAATTGCTTATTCTTTATTATGTGTATAGAAGATTCTTTTTATATGGAATACTTATCACACTGTAATGATTTTATGAGTTTGTACAAGCCAGACCTCGTAAATTTTTCATTTCGCATGCTGAATACTATTATTTAGTAAAAAAAAAAAGTGGTCTGTCCGGGACTTGAACTCGGGACCTCTCACATGGAAAGCGAGAAACATACCACGAAATCGCTTTACATGGAGTCAAGTATATGCAGAAGTGAAGTCACATACATGTATATATTCATGTTCGGTATTGACTTTTACACAATCCATGGTGTTTGATTTATTTAGCCTTCATTAAACAGTTCTAATAGATGTAATAAGAACATAAAGTCCGCCGAGAACCTGTTTTATACGCAATAACTCTCCTCATGCCCCTGTGCTAAAAATAGCGACATGTAATAATATAAATACTAATAAAACAAACGGGGCGGGGCACTTTGAGAGGGGTGAGAGAGGTCCTAGGGAGTTTTGGTATAAAATTACATTGCATAAGCTCAAAATCTTCTTGAAATATCGCCCGAAAATGATAGTGTTACACACAGACAGAATGTATAAATTTACGACCTTGAACTTTGACCTTTTGAACTCAAAATCAATAGAGGTCTTCATTAGGCCACGGGAAGTTGTTATGTAAAATTTCATTACAATAGCTCAAATGGTTCTACAGATATCGTGTGGATACGAAAGTGTTATAACAGACATAATTTGCTTATTTATGGCCTTGACCTTTGACCTCAAAATCAATAGGATTCTTCTTTAGTCCATAGGGAGCTGCTATGCTAAATTTCATTGCAAAGGGGTTCTCGAGATATCGTGTGGAAACGAAAGCGTTACAGACAGACAGAAAGACGGACGGATGGACAAACCCACTTTTCAAGCGGGGGACAAAAAAATATTTTTAGCATATAGGTCACAGTCAAGTTCACAAGGTCATTCGTCATTGTCATTTGAAAGAACTTGTTAAGTGAAGTATGCATACCAAATATGAAGTCTCTATCTCTCATGGTTCAAAAGTTATTGTGAAGGTTCAAAAAAGCTATTTTTAGCATATACGACACAGTCAAGGTATTAAGGCCATTGACCTTGGTATCTTGTGAAAGGGCTTAATTAGTGTAATATGCATGCCAAATATTAAGTCTTTATCTTTCTTCGTTCAAAAGTTATGGCGAAGGTTAAAGTTTGCCGACAAAAAAGCTATATTTAGCGTATAGGTCACAGTCAAGGTCATAAGGCCATTGACCTTGGTATGCTGTGAAAGGGTTTACTTAGTGGAGTATGCATGCCAAATATTAAGTCTCTATCTTTGTTCGTTCAAAAGTTATGGTGAAGATTAAAGTTTGCCAACAAAAAGCTATATTTATCGTATAGGTCACAGTCAAGGTCATAAGGTCATTTACCATGGTGTCATTTAAAAGAGCTTTATCAGTGGTCTATGCATATCAAATATGAAGTCTTTATCTTTTATGGTTCAAAAGTTATGGCGAAGGTTAAAGTTTGCAGAAAAAAATATTTTAGCATATAGGTCAGTCAAGGTCACAAGGTCATTGACCTTGGTGTCATTTGAAAGGGTTTCAATAGTGGAGTATGCATACTAAATGTGAAGTCTCTTTCATTCATGGTTCAAAAGTTATGACGAAGAATAAAGTTTGCAGACAAACAGATAAACAGACAAACAGATAAGACAAAAACAATCTACGCCTCGGGTCTTTTGATCCGGGCGCATAAAAACTTTTGTGTGAATGGTCATTGAAATAATGGTAATTCATTGATAACACTCCACGCTATAATAATATCTATATATCGTAAGATTATTACAAATGTGAAGTAAGTTGTTTTCATAAATTCATCGATAACTTATTTTCCTAGTGTGAACATTGTGGCAATGAACCCGAACTATAATTTGTACTTCGTAATTAACTTCAAGTTGCTTACATGAAAAGAGAAATTTAATGAGAATAAGGTTTTGCTAAAATATAATTAAAGCTGTAAAGTCTTGTGCTTTAATCTAATACATTTCTTTTTTTTTTTCTTAACACAGTCTTTTTGTATTAAATAATCGGCTTATTTATAGGGCGTTAAAAGCTTATTTTTACACAGGTACTTGGGTCTTGGTTTACAAGTATGTGCCTTATTTATGTGCAAAAAATGTCAAGTATATTTTTTTCTTACATATCAATAAGATACACACATATTTATAAACCAAGATTTAAGTACCTGTGAATTTCACCCCCTCCCCCCCCAAAAAAAACATGTATC